ACCGATTTTATCCCTGTAAAATCAAATCTGAAGTTTAGAGCCAGATTTAGAACAGAAAAGAGTAGTTCAGTTGAAAGGGACCTACAATGACCATCTGGTCCAACTGCCTGATCAATTCAGGGCTGAACAAAAATTAAAGCATATTATTAAGGGCATTGCCCAAATTCCTCTTGAACACTGAGAACGTTGGGGAATCAACCACCTCTCCAGGAAGCCTGTTCCAGGGTTTGATTGCCATGCTGGTAAAGAAATGCTTCCTAAAGTCAAGTCTGAATCTTCCTTTAGGAGCCTTGGTTAAATTATCTTCTGGATTGTTTGTGACCACAGGCGCACACCTTGGCTTACATGCATGCAGCAATATACAGAAGCTCTTTTTTGGGCTTGCTGGCCCTCAGTTTTGCTGCTTTTTTCCAACAACCCTTATTTATTTCCTTAAACAATCAGTGCTATAACAGCTCTACCACTACAGCAACACCCACATGTTTAGAGATTTCCTCCAAGCATGGGCTGCCAACACGTCCATGTCTCGTTAAATGGAGAAAGGTACCACAGGAATAACCCAGGCAGTAAACATGTCCTTTCACACCAGTCTTCCCAGCATAAATCAGCTTCGTGTTTGCACCTCCCTGGGGATTTGCCTGCACTGCCCAGCTGTTCCCAGTAAGCTGGATGTGCACAGGATGAGGAAACTTAGCTTAATTCGCTATGCACGAAAAATAAATCTTGCAAGTAAAAGACAAAGCTGACAGATCATTTGTTGTCTTCAAGAGTTGGCATGAAATATATTAGCAAAATTCCTGCATCTCATCCTGCGCATACGTCAGTTTAACAGATTTAACCAGTAGAAATCAGCACCTTTTACTAACCTTGATTAAATAGATCGTATTTGAGTGAAGAAAGGGAACAAGGTACAAATTGATAAAGGGTGACGCCTGTTCCTAGAGCAATCCAAGACAGTTTTATTCAGGGTCTGTATCAGCTTCAATGCCATTCCCATCTCTGATTAGAAGCACCCATTCTCCATGTGAGAAATGCTCGACTTTGGCTCTGTGCACACCTGCTCTCCCAGCTGATTTTTGCTCTGGCTAGGGATCATCGGGGATCACATCATGTCTGCATGCTGGAAATCAAGTAGACCTTGATTAATAGCAGACCTCGTGCGTCAGGAGGTGGGTACGTGCATCAGTATTTAACACAGTGTGCGTATTGCTCTACCTAGGGGAAAAAGAGCTCACAGGCTTTCCTCCTCCAGCCCTCTGCAGTTCCCCACTGCAGTTCATACACTCTCCAGTTTTCTAAAGAAATAATAAACTTGTTGATTTCTGGCCCCAGAGAAGCTGCTTATCCAGAAGAATTATATATTCCCTGCTATTTCCAGTTAAGAAAGAGAGTACAGAATTTGGTAAACATAATACAGCAGCTTCGGCCCTGTGGAGCAGTGCAGAAAAAAGCCCAGACGCAGCTCGAGGCTCCAGCAGAGCCCCAACCTGCTTACAGCCCCTGACAAGTTTATCCATGTTATTTTAAAAGCAGATTGCACTTGTGCAAAACATGAACATCGTCACAGACTGAAGTTGCCTAAAATTAAAAATCGCATCCTGAGTCTTCTGAAAGCTGTTTAGGTTATAATCAGCATTTAATTAGCTTTATACATCTTTCTGAAATCACCCAAAGCTAGGAATTGATTAAGCAGCCATCAGACTTTTGTGCAAGTGCTCCATTTAAATATAATTTCCAGCTGCACTGTGACATGGAAGCAGGTTTATAACTTGCATAAAATGGTTTTCTGCAGGTAACCACTACAAATCACAGATACTGCTGTATATAAAAGCTGTGCGAGTGAGCAGTGAATTAAAAGCAAATGAGGATTGCGCTATATATTATCACACCTGACAACAAAGCAGAACCTGAAGGATATAAAACACATAATGACATGTGTTTATATGAACGCTACAGCAAAAGAGTGATTACAGTTTAACATGTACTCATTTTTCTGGTTTTCTTTTGTTGGCAACAACGCAGCCAGCATAACACACCTGGGCATGTTGAGAGGTGATTTTGAACTGACGCAAAACCACCAGTGCTCACCCCCCTGCACCCATAGCGTTATTTCAGCGTGGACACTTCTTTGGAGGACTTCAGGGCCAGGGTGCCCCTGCCGTGGGCATTCGGACTGCCTCGCGGATGGGGACCCCATTGCGTCTGCCCCGCACCCCCTGATAACAACACGGTGCTTCTCAGGAGAAGTGTTGTGGTCACCGAGGGGTGAATGGCAACGCTTGATGTCACCTCGCACTGTGCTGCAGCTCCAGGTGTCCCTGACTGCCCCTCTCTAAGGCTCTTAGGCAAGTGGCACCCTGACGCCTCCAACCAACACAGAGCGGTGACCTCCCTGTGGCACTTTAGCATCCATTTAACAAAGCCAATTAAAAACTCCTCTCCAGTTAAACCGGTGCCACCTCCCTTGCAGACCAGGCTGCACCAAGCTGGGGACAGACAAAAGGAGCTGCAAGGAGGGAGGTGACACTCAACTTCTCCGCTGTCTCACCTTTTGGCAACATGAATTCCCCTGCAAGTTCAAGAACAAGCGCTGACAATCCATCCTCTTCAGGGGCATCCCTTTAAAGTGCATTTTTGAGGAATCCTCTTCTAAAATTTGCTCAACAAACTCCTTCATCTGACTGTATTTTAATGGCCTTACCTGTAGAAGCCTTGGTTATCGTATGCCATGTTAGTCACATCATCAAGTATGGATTTATTCCTGAGTTTCTTATTGTTGTTGTTATTGTTTCTTCCCTTAAAACCAAAGTAAGCAGCTTGCATGTGCTCCAGTTCCTCAGTTCTGAGCTGGTACCATAGCTGCATATCTCTGCAAATTAAGTAAGGTGTAAAATAGATTACCGTGATAAACGGCTGGATATCTGAGCTTTTATCAGATCGTGGCCCTGATTCACTAGAGTTTAAATCTAAATCAAGGTTTACTGGAGACAGCACTTCAACACATGCTGAACTTCAAGTGTAAGCCAAATTTCCAGAGACTTAATTACCTGCTTAGATACCTAAAGGTGGAGGGTTCTTAAATAGCATAAATATTTGTAAAATATATATGTAAATGTATTTATGTAAAATTTTAAGTATTATCCAGGACTCCCCAAAAACTGAGCAAACAAAAAAAAGAACAATTTTCTTATGAGCACTTGTGGATAGTTCAAAGGAACAAACCCCAATAATTATGTCCATTTGATTCAGTGGGTTTTGAGACTACAGGTAATAGGGAAACTCCCTTCAGGCGTGATGTTATGTCAATGTTCTCATGGGCCTTCATCAGTGACACACCTCAGGCCAGATCCTGTTACACGTGAAAAGACCACAGACCATCCCCACTTTATGGAATAAATTATTTCAGAAAAGAAAGTATTTTCTGATAATTTTTGCAGCACTGCTATTCCTAAGGGTTCAAAAATCACGAGGCAGGTTGAAAAGATGAACTAACTTAAAAATGGAGGAGTAATGTTGCCTTTGGTAAGAGCAGGGCTTGGTCAGTTGCCTTCAGGATTTCCATTTGGAAACGCTTAAGGTGCTTTTCATGCTGCTGCCTACATCTCTGGGGAGGGGAAAAAAATCACAATTTCTTTGCTTGCTTTTAAAAGAAATCTGAGATTCACATAATCACAGACATTCCCACTAGCTGATGGGACAAGATTAAGTTGTGAGGACTGGCAATGCTGGTCTTGGTTCACTTCTGTCCTCTCAGCATGCAATCCTGCTCCTACCAAAGAAAATGGCAGCTATGCTTATGCAGTGGGACCAGGTCTGCGAGGAGGCTAAATTATGTGAGCTTTTTCAGCAGCCTTTGTCCCTTTTCTCTCTGAATGCAAGGGTAACACAAAAGATGGCACTTCAAAGACCATCAAACAAACCTACAAACCTGACCTTGCAGGACAGGTTTGTAGGGGATCTCTTCTAGTAGACCAACTAAAAGAGCCAAAAAAAGTAGACAGGCAGACTTCAAAGCCAAAGGCAAGATGAGGACATCCTCCCCAGCCCACAGGTCCAGACTACCTTTTCATTCAGAGATGGCCTAAGAGGCCCTTATTTAACTAATCCCCTACCAAGTATTCTCATTTTGTATGAAGTTATCAAGCAGTTTCTCTTCAGATTAATGCTACGCGCATCCAAAAGTCAATCTACATTTTCCAACCACATCAGCTGACCTCACCAAAGAGATCCTCTGTACAGGCACACCCTCATCCACTTTTGCCTGCGGATGTTACCACCATGTCTAGGTCGAGCAAGCATCACACAGGGATGTGTTACTCTTTCTCACGTGATGTGGACAGTTTCTCCATCATCTCAGTTGCTTTCTGACAGCAGGGCCAAGCCATACAATGTCTGTAGTACCCCCAGGTCCCCCCCAGGAACAGGGCTCTACTGTGGATGGGCCAGGTTGAGCAGCTCCTTCAGGAGCAGTGAGGGGAGGACAGAAGGCAGGCAGGGAACTGAGAAGCTCCACACAAAAGGAATAATTTTATGTCCTGATGACAAAACCAGTTCAAAATGTTCGTGTGAAGGGCTTTTCTTTCATAAGAGAAAAATATCAAGTCATCAAAGTCATGTGAACAGCTAACTTGGACAAAACTCCATTTAAAATAAATGAAAAACAAGGACTTCGATATGAATAGTTTTATCAAAAAGAAAAGCGTCGATTCAAAAAATGCCAATCAACCCTTTCATTTCAAAAATTATTTCATGCTATCAGTGAAAACCTAGTATTATGAATGACACCAATGACTTTTCTTTTTTGCCTCACAAAATCCTTTCAAGGGAAAAAGAAAAATTTGTATTTTGGTTACAATTAGATTTTGAAATGACAGCATTTCCCCCCTAAGCTGATTCCCATGCAGCTCTAGATAAAACACGGCCTGGAGCAGGGAGACCTTCACTCCTGTCCTCCCCAGTCTCCCTCCACTCCACCACTACCCCACCTCACTCCCCTTCACCCTGAGTTTTTGAAATGGACTGGATTGGTAAATGTGACTTCTTCCCAAGCTGTTTATAATCCTGCCCGCTGTCTTGCGCTTCGAGCCAGAAGACAAAATCCTACGTCCTTCCAGCACAGCGTTGTGACAGCTCTGCTGACGGGGAGGGTTTTGATGGTTTTGACATGGGTAGATTAATTTTCCCAGCAGTGTTCACGGAAGTCAAAGGAAAAAAAATGAGAGAGAGAGAGAGAGAAGAAGGGGAAATGCAGCCAATCTTAAAAAATACAAGGAGAGAAAGACTGGGCCAGCAAATAAGACTGCTATGTTCAGCTTCTGCATAATCCTGGGTAAATCCAGATCTGCCCAGGCCCACAGAGGTTGTCTGGTATTAACAGACATTAGGTGCCTAAATAGACATGAATTCCAACTCTTTGCATGCCTAAAGCCTCACCTACAAATTAAGCATTTAAAGTAATTAACATCATTGTGGTGTTGTGAGCATCAGGTCCTTTGAAGCTCTCTGCCACCACAGCAGTAGGGTCCATATGATGTACGGTATCATGCCCATTTTAAAAAATCTTTTCTTGACGTACCTTTGAGTCCTCCTCCTTTCACTTTTCTTCACACATTTGATAAGACAGCAAGTTAAAAAAGCCATGGACATCAGCAGAATGACGGCACAGCTCACGATGGAGGCGATCACTGCGACCTTAAATCCAAAAGTCTCATATTTTGATATGGCTGCAGCAAAGCAAACACAGAAGCACATTTCTAAGGTCGACCCATGAATTTATCTTTCACACTTTCATTAAACCATGCTGAAATCCACCTGCTTCACACTTTTGCTAATAATAGCTCAGTGAGGACTTTCATGTTAGTATGCGTCAAGATACCAGGGTGTCTTGGCTTCAGCTTAGAGCTACACAAGCCTCAAACTGGGCTATTAAAAAATCTCCTGTTTATAAGCTACTAATGAATTGTTCACAAGTGTTTCATTACTGCAACTAATTAAACACAATGCCTTTAGTGCTGCAGTAGCTAAAAAGCACAACTTTGTCTGGAGCCCACAACACAGGATGGCCATGGAGCTGCTGGAGTGGATCCAGAGGAGGCCATGAAGATGATCAGGGGCTGGAGCACCTCTGCTATGGGCTGAGAAAGTGTTCAGCCTGGAGAAGAGAAGGCTGTGGGGAGTCCTTAGAGCAGCCTTCCAGGATCTGAAGGGGGCTTACAAGAAAGCTGGGGAGGTTCTATTTACAAGGGTGTGTAGTGATGTGACAAGGGGCAACAATTTTAAACTAGAGTGGGGTAGATTTAGATTAGACATTAGGAAGAAACTCTCCACTATGCGAGTGGTGAAACAAACACTGGCACAGGTTGCCCAGAATGGTTGTGGAGGCCCCATCCCTGGAGATACTCAAGGTCAGGCTTGATGGGGCTCTGAGCAACCTGATCTGGTAACAATGTCCCTGCTCACTGCAGGGGTTTGACTGGTTGGCCTTTAAAGGCCCCTTCCAACCCCCCGCATTCAATGATTCTATGATTCTGTATCAAATACAGATGAGTTAGCAGACTCTCATAAGAAATTGTTAACAAGGTCTGGAGCTGCAAAAAACAAATAATGATGGGCAGCGAACAAGAGGTCTTCCTCTGTTTGGGGAAGGATGCAGGATGGAAGGGACAGTGTCTGTCAGCACTCTGGGCTGAGTGCTCCCAGTGAATCATCCAGACAAAAGGAGGAGAGGGAATGTGGTGTGGCACAGCTAACGCAGGTCTCTGCCAACTCACTTGGAGCACTAAGCACTCAGTCTTGCTTCAAAATTCATCCAGGTCTTCCAACCCCATGATGACCAGCATCAGG